CAGGAATGAGATTTTTTTAAAAATAAAAATAAAAATCTATAATTTGGGGAAAGGCACAGATGTGAGCAATTATGCAGACGGTCAAAACATCTGTCCTCTGATTAAAAGATCCAGGATTTCTTATCAGAGGTTCCGATCAACTATCAGCCTTTAGGGCGCCCTGGTTGCTATATGCAAAGGAAAGAAATGTTCCCATCTTCCATAGAGTAAAGCTTTCAAAGTCCATGCTAGGTTTTGGAGAGAAGTAAAATTATAAATAGAACAGAGAAAAGATATTGAACTGGTGTAACATATCCTACCACAGGAATAGGTGATTTAGGTTGTTTCCAGGAACTCAGGTAAAACATCAAAGAGTACACAATATTTATTGGGCTGATTTCATGAAAGTATGCCTCTTCTAGTACAGCTAAGATTGGGTTAACATGGTAACAAAAAGGTAGAAGTACATATCCACATTTACTGCTTAGTACAATATGTTCATGACTTCCACACAGATATAAATGCCATACAATGCAGCAGCAGTATTTTATTTTGTTTTTTTTACCAAGTGATGGCAAATATCAAAGGCCAAACTGTCGCCTCCGGCACAGTTCAAGAGGCCCAGCAAAATACTTGGCTCACTAGGGATTCTCTGTCAGCATCTCAAAAGACTTCTCAATGTAATGATTTTGTAATGTATACTCATACACATTAGACTGAGTTGCTAGTATACAACACACGGCTTTTTCAAACATTTCCAGGTCACTGATTTACACTGGCACACTTAAACTGAATCCTTCTAATTCAATTAAAGTCTCAGCCTGGCCAATCAATACAACTGTGGCCTGATTTACTTTAATATCTACAAAGCAGCGGCCACAGTTATGGGCAAGCCAGGCCCAGAAGGCAAGTTCTGCAACCTACAACGCTAGTTTCCATTTCAATCTACCACTACTGTAAACATTTGCTGCTTTTTCCATTTGGATATCGTCCAGATTACAATAATAGCTAGAGGCTGCTTCACACATGACTTTTTCCTTCATGGAGATCATCTCAGTATAGAGGAAAAGCCCACGTAAAACATGATTTGAGAAAAACAAATAGGGCATGAGTATTCTCAACGTGACAAAGCTCATACAAACTTGACAGTAGAGGCTTTGCCAGTGAAGCAATGCTGAAGATGGGAGTTTGCTTCAAGTAAACAAAATGCTACTGTCTGTCTAACCAAAGGTCACTTTAGGCTTGGATACTGTTTGCTCAAAAGAAATTCTTCTAGCTGTTTTTGCAGAAGTTATTGTTATAAAGAAACTAATGCTTTCCTTAAGCTGTACACTGACTAAAGTGGGACTTTTGTTAAATAAAAGATAAACTACTATTTCAGGGCAGAACTACACATGAATCAGAAATATGGGCCTGCCACCAAAAACAGCAGCCCTGTGTGAAATTCCCCCACTCATAAATTAATATGACATGTTCTGACATCCCTGTGTTTCTCCCTAACCCTACTACACATTACCAGCTGCAGGTCAGGGAGATTTTCTGGAACTGAGGTCAACTCGACCACACATGATACGGAGGAGGGACAATCACACAGGTCTGTGATTTTGGTCACAGCCCCATGTTTCTAATATTGTGCACTTTGGCTTTCAGTTCAATAGACTAATGTTGAGCTGTGTTATAGTATTCTGGGAAACTGCTCAAAACTGGATTTCGAGTACCAAGGGGAAAGTTAGATCTGTGTTTAACAACTAGTCTCCCAGCTGCTGAGTTTAAATTGTTCTTCTGGCCTAGTAGAAACAAATGGTTTTCACATGAACTTTGTCTTTGTTTGAATGGATAAGACAATATTCACATGAGTTTCCCCTACCATGAAAAGTGAGGCAAAGTGACCAAATCACTTACGGAAGTCATCTGACCATAGCCCCCCGTAAAGCATAAGCGTCAAAGCAAAAACTCACCACAAGCTCAGAGAATCTTGCATTGAGCTCTTCTGCTGGTGGAATTGGCACAGAGAATTCCAGGAACTGCAAGGGATTGTTATCCTTAAGGTTAATTTCAGGAAGTTCGCTGCCCCCAAAGCAGCAAAGAAACCCCAAAGCATGACGATTCCTTTTCCTCGGAGCCATGATCATTGTGGTGTAGGGTGCTATCTAACAATCATGATCTGCAGAGGAGGGAAAAACAAGAATTTTTTTCAATAAACGCTGCAGTAAGTAGCATGTATGTGAGTGTGAAACACATGTCTTAAAACTGATTACACAGAATGACAAATTCAGCTCCTTTTTAAACCAACACAATTTCTGTTACCTTTGTCAAAGTAATAGTAGGACCTTCAAGGGTTCATTTTCTAAACAAGAGACACCCCCCTTTTGTAAGAGTTGGTATGAAATTAAGTTTAACAATTTTTTATCAAGTTGAAAATTGAGGGGGGGGGGACATCGGAAAGGAGCCCAAGGTAACAGGTGCACTAATAGACATATTAATAGCTTTCATAGATTATAAATCCTGTGGCAAAGTACAAGTAATATAAAAACTCTAGAAACAGAGGCTCCAATACCTAGGATGATTGTTTTCAACCTTTCAGATGCTTAACAGCAGTTGAGAGCATCAAAGCTGTAAGTCCAAATTTAAGAACTAGCCTTTCTTCCTGAACATTCTGATCATGCTAAATTATCTATGACATCTTAGCATGGTCCAGTAATCATGTGCCTCTAATACTGATTTAAATAGCAATTGATCCAGGTTCTTTGAGTATTGACAATAACAACCCAGTTTACACACTGCTTGCAAAAATTACCAAAGACAAAGATTGTAAAGTAAAAGATGTACTGAAGACTACTAGCAATGTAGCATTTCCATTCTTGGGAGATCTTTGCAATGGACATGCGCAAATGAAAGAAATACATTCCACCTGAAAATAAAAGTTCCATGGATTTATTAGAAAAGATTTACAAGTGGTTATAGTAGATACAAATCAAGTACTGCTGGTGGATTTTCCCAGATCAGTAATGCAGCAGTATTATAACATAAACACCCCTTTGAAAAGACAGCCACAATAGTCTTTTGTGGCAAGATCTGTGTGCAACTCCACTGACAAAGTAAACATCCCTGTCAATTACATCTGAGCAGGGCTCTCCTCAGGGGGGAGCTCTCAGGTACGGAGCTCCGGAAGAGAACCTCTAGGGGGCGGGGCGGTCACGTGGTGAAGCCCCGCCCCCTTCTTTACCCCGCCCTCTGCTTCGATCCTCATTCCGTTTGGGAATGAGGACATCTGAGTCACACTCTCCTCACTCCCCCCTTCCCTCTGATCTTCTTGAATTCTGCCAAATGACAGGTGTCACAACAGTTAGATATGATGATTTCTAGGTGTTACCAACTATCATTCATTTTTTACTTTTGGATTACTTATAACTACTATCTCAATGAACAGCATTATTGACATTATGGGTTTTAGTTAGCTGATATGTGAAGGCACATCCTCAGTCTCCATGCTTCTGACTATTATAGAGACAAAAAAAGCCTGTTCCTGCCACTCTGAGGATGTTCAACACAGTAAAGTTCCTGCTTTGTTCTGCAGATGGATCACAGTCACGTTGCCTATGGCAAGGTAACTCTGTGCTTCCCTCTGCAATTCTAGATGCACTACACAAGAATGTATTCAAGTGACATTCAGTCATGTGAATTATGCCAATTTCTTCAGGACTCCTCAATGCACATACAAAACTGGAGGCTACTGTATGGCTCAAAGACCTGACAGTGCTTTGTAGGGCTAAGAGGAAATATTCAGCACCAACATTTTAGTGCCAGGTCTACACTTGATGACCGTCTGGGCTGCTGACATAGAGGGTAGGAGGGGGTAGAGAAGGAAGTCCTTAGATCTTAGCACACAACATTAATTGTGAGCCATTCATACAAACAGGAAGTCTCCTGCCAGGAGTTTGAAAAGAAGGATCTGTGCAGTCCATACAAAAGCTGCATATTTTGCCCTTTTAAGGCACTTGTTGTTTGACAGCTTGGAGGTTTATTTGTATAATTTTTTTTCCAAAGCGCTTCATCTTTTTCACTTAATCTGCAGAATAAGCTGTATTTTGAGAGTAAATAATTACAGTGCTCTTTCAGAAGTACAAGAGAGGAAAGGGAGAAGGGGGGAGGCAGAAGATGGCAGGTGAGCAGAGTCACTCAGTGGCATATCAACAGCAACACAGCTGAGTTTTGTCAGGCAGGGTGCCCTTGTTGGTTCACCCTAACCTGCCCTGGGACACGCTGTCTTGTTTATCTGCCTGAACAAGGCTGCCCTTGTGCTCTCATGAAGGCAAAAGCACATGGGCTGGAAAAATTAGCTTCACGGTAGTAGAAGCAGCACTAACATACCCCAGGGATGTCCAAGTATGCCAGCATTTTCCAAAGTGCAGCCAATACCCTCATTTGATTCCGCTTCTCTGGACCATTCTCCATAACCTACACTCAATATAGTCTATGCTTCTTTTCTCCATCTGTAAAAATGAGATGGCCCTGACCTGGAACAGTCCAGGATAGCCGAATTTTGTCATCTTGGAAACTAAGCAGGCTGGGCCCCGGTTAGTACTTGGATGGGAGACCACCAAGGAATACCAGGGTCACTATGCAGAAGCAGGCAATGGGAGACCACCTTTGAACGTCGTTTGACTTGAAAACCCTGCGGGGTCACCATAAGTCAGTTGCAACTGGATGGTAAAAAAACAAAGACACAAGATGACACGTTTATACATTTAACAGGAAAGTGAAAAAACCTAATCATGCCTACGCATGGGTCACTGCTTGAAGGCAGTATGCATGGTTACAGTGGCTTTCAAGGCACATTCTTACAGAAGTGGGAACTGAAGTGCAAAAACCCCCCAGGAATCAGTCTAGTGTGGGATCATGCATCTCCAAAGAACCCACACAGAAAAAAGCATAATGCCTCTGTT